AGCGCATCATTATATCTACATTTCTATGTCTAATAAAGTGCGTCAAAATGGGTTGAATAGAGGGAAGATAGGTTAGACGCTTATCAATATAAATCAGAGGTTCAAGAAATTTTTAGCAATCAAATTTTAATTTAATTTCATAAATTTATGATGTTTATGCTTGCAAGACAAAAATTTTTAAAAAAAAAGTTTTGCATTAGCGAGAAAAAAAATGATAGGATTATCGTTAGTCTTTGATTTGTACCTGGGTATCTTACAAAATCTATGTTAAATGAACTTGTAATATACCCAGTACAAATCAAGGGGGTACCGATCAAGGGGGTACCTTGCACGGCAGTTTACGGTAATAGAATCCGGATAGCCTGTCAAAAATAGGATCGAAACGCTAGCTTTATCATTATAAAATTTAAAATTTATTTTTCATATCTCATGACCCGATCGAGTTATGAGAAACAAAAAAATTTTTTTGTGGTCTAATCTGGTGCAACATTACTATTCATGATAGATCAGCAGTTCCGATGATTTGATAGAGCTAAAAAAAAAAATAATTTGAAAACTAATTTCTAATTTTCCCCTAAGTTTCTGATTCTGGCCAATCAGAATACAAGATCAGGTGTAACGTGATGATCAAAACAACAACCGCCTTTTTTTTCAAAAAGTCAAATTTTCACCTTCTAACGCTAACCCCAAACAGTATTGCCAATATACGTTTTGATATCACGTGATATTCTACAAAATTATTTAAGTTTGGTTAGAGTATAGATATTTATCACCTGATTTTTTAGGGGGAGGGGGTCAGAAAGATTATCAGATGCTATATAATATAGTATTATTAGCCAATCAAAATTGTCCAATATAATAATATAAAATTTTTAATGATATAGTAATAATTAAAAGAATTTATTTATCACATTATACAATATATTTTATATATCGTTCTTCTAATTAAATTTCAAGATTAGATATAATATTACATGATCAAAAAATTTAAAACAAATATTTATTTTGTTAAAAATTATCTTTAACTTAAAATTGAGTATATGAAACTATTTTTTGTGTTCTAACAAAAAAAATTCTTTGCAAAATTTTATCTTTTATCTATATATACAATCTTTTATCTATATATACAATCTTTATCCTATTTTAATCCTAACTAATGAAAAAAACAGGTAATTTTAATTGTTTTGGTTTTATGTTATATCTGATTGAGTATTTCTATTTACCTAACAAGATATCAGAGATATTAGATGAAAATCTATGCTGTCTAATAATCTAACTATGCTTGAAACTTTGTTGGGGCGGGGGATATTGTTGGGAAGAGCCTTGTTGAGGTGAAAAGTATTGTTGGGGTGGAAGATATTGTTGGGAAGAGCCTTGTTGAGGTGAAAAGTATTGTTGAGGTGAAGTGTCTTGTTGAAATAGAAAGTGTTGCTGGGGCGGGCCTTGTTGGAGTAGGTGTTGCTGGTGCGGGCCTTGTTGGAGTAGGTGTTGTTGGAGCAGGGTGCCTTGGTGGTGCAAATATTGTTGATTTTGTTGGATTTGGGTTATTTCACTATCAATAAAAATAAGTTCATTAGCTTTGGAGCCTTCAACTTCGTAGCCTTCAACTTGATCGTAATTAAAAATTAAATTTTCTTCTAATCCGTCACTTGAAACTGAGATACCACAACATTT